GAAAGAAAGAAAGAAAGAAAGAAAGAAAGAAAGAAAGAAAGAAAGAAAGAAAGAAAGAAAGAAAGAAAGAAAGAAAGAAAGAAAGAAAGAAAAAAGGAGGAAGGCAGTTTAGGAGGATGTTCACCGTGGTTTTTTGTTTTTTGTTTTTTGTTTTTGTTTTTTTTTTTCAATTTTCTGTTGCTACAAAAAGTAGCTGGGTCTTGGGAATTTACAAAATAAAGGGATTTGGTTGGCTTACAGTTTCTGAGGATGAAAACCCTGGGTCACATACATTTCTGTCAGGACTTCAGTGAGGATTGCATCACGTCACGATGGGAAAACACAGGTGCATGGTGGTCTGCTTTCTATAGCCCACTTTATCAAGAACTGACTCCAGGAGAGCAGCAATCATTCCCAAAGTTACCTTACACTGAGCCCCTGCTCTTACAGGTCCCACCTCATTAAGACTACCACGAGCTTATAGGTCATGAACTTTGGGGGACAAACTCAAACCATATCCCAAACCAGACTTTTGGGTAGCTCATCATCTTTGTCAGGTTGGTTTTCCTTCAGGCACACACTCCCATCCTCTTTTTACTGGAAGGTGCTGGGAAACAGGGCAATATGGATTCTGTGGGGACTTCTTTTACGCTGGAGACTTGGGTCCTTTTGGGAACACAATGTCTTCTTCATGGAGCATTTCTGCTTATGAGTAAGCAAAGAATGTTGGCAACAGAGTGTATCAAGGTAACATCAAACATTCCTCCCCATTTTGAAAACCACAGTCATCTTTTTCCTTTTAACCCCCACCCCATCCCCACACCTCTTTTTGAAATAAGGTCTCCTGTAGGCCAGGCTGACTTGGAAATTGCTATGTAGTCAAGGATGACCTTGAGTTTGTGATCCTCCTTTTCAGTGTGAGGATGACAAGTTGCACCATCACACCCCCTTTTGGCTCATACATTTTCATTTCTTCCACATTTGCTACAAACCTTAATGGGAGGGCAACCCACATGTAAATTACTCTTTCTTTAATTCCATTTTCTTTATCAAATCCAACAATGACTCATTATATATTGAAATGTTTATGCAGAACTAGTGAGAAATTACAGCTGCTTGGACAGCCAGAGGGCTTTCTCATTACAAGGAGAAATAAACACTAAATTCTGAGGATGACAGGATGTTTACTGCCTCAAAACAGGCATTGCATAAATCTGACTCCATGAAAACCTGAAGCCCTTATTCAGGTTAAAGTGAACAAGAAATGTAACAGCTCAGGGAGGTGTGCAATTTTTAGATTCAGTGTCCTCATTATAGAGTAAAAATAGAAATATCTAGATAGTATTCCTGCCTCGTGCTAAAGTAAAACAGGGAAATAAACCTATGTGGCTTCAGTTTCTCTGAGAACTTTTCTGAGAATGTGAATCATGAAGTCTCAAACATACAAAGCGATGAGAAGGATAAATAATTTGTTAAAACATATGATATGTTAAAATTAATACATAGCTAGGATTTTGCAGAAAAAAAATAAAACAAGAACAATAACAGAGAGTTCTGGGAAAGAGGGTTTGAGTGTCAGTCGTGCAAATAATGTGAGCTCTTTTCTACATCCTCTCTGAGAAGATGAGAAAAATCAAGACTGATGCAAATATTGGGATAATTTTAAAAATGTTTGTAGTTTCTTCTCTAGTTCACTTTGCCTCAGAATCATCATCTTTCTCTGTTACTTCTAAAATAAAATGAACCTATTTATATATGCAAATATTATTACTGAAAAATTTTAAAATGCACAGTTCCAACTTCGAATTCTTGGGGGTTGTTCACATCATTGTTTTTAAAAAAAGAGATTGATCTTTGTGCGGAGGGACATTTTCAGGACATAAAGGACAAACAGTTTTGGTGTCTCACCTTTGTCTCTCCACCAAAGATGTTTCTAAAACAGGTGTCCAGTTGCTCTCTCCCTGTCCCTGTCTTTGATGTTTTAAATAAGCCAGGGCAAAATCTAGACCAACTCTGTCCCTGACCCCATCTGCCCATTTCCAAGTTTATGTATCAGACAACACAGGGCTTTTATCTAGTTCATAAGTAATAATTATTTGGAGGGGACTATACGACCTGCGGTTCTGACAAAAGAACGTCTGTTTAAAGAGCTGTTTAACCACGGTCACCCGTCAAGGGGAGAAGACAGAGAAGGTTCCCAAATGTTGTCTGGCCACAACACTCTCAGTCAAAACTGCGGATTGGGGCACACATGTCCAAGATTCCTCAGTCTCCACATAAGTCCAAACTAATAGAATGCATTAATTAATTCTTCTTGAAATAATAAAAATAGCACTTGAACTGACCTTGAATAAAAGTAAGGGTCAATAAACCTGTGTTTAAGTTAAAATTTTCATACAGGACTCATAAGTGATAGGAATGGAGAAATCATTCTGAATAATATTAAATATTAGCAATGAAGGGTAGACCAGGAGAATGCACAGTGCTGCTTTAGAACATGAGTTTAAATATATGCTAAGGGAAGTAGGCAATGGATGAGGTTAGCCAGAGGGAAGAGGCACAGGTGTCATACTGCTTCTCTCCTCTCTCTCTCTCTCTCTCTCTCTCTCTCTCTCTCTCTCTCTCTCTCTCTCTCT